CTAATGGTGATTACGAATGTGTTTGATGTGATCACTAATGATGGTGATGTTATGCTTCCACTGATCTTCCCAAAGGAAGATATACATATGTATATATAGATATATATAGATAGAGATATAGATATATAGATATATATAGATAGAGATATAGATATATAGATAGATATATATATAGAGAGAGAGATAGAAAGATAGATATATATATAGATAGAGATAGAAAGATAGATAGATATGTAGATAGAGATAGAGAGATAGATAGATATGTAGATAGAGATAGAGAGATAGATAGATATGTAGATAGATAGAGAGATAGATAGATATGTAGATAGATAGAGAGATAGATAGATATGTAGATAGATAGAGAGATAGATAGATATGTAGATAGATAGAGAGATAGAAGATAGAGAGGAGAGAGATAGATAGATATGTAGATAGATAGAGAGATAGATAGATATGTAGATAGATAGAGAGATAGATAGATATGTAGATAGATAGAGAGATAGATAGATATGTAGATAGATAGAGAGATATGTCGATAGAGATAGATAGAGAGATAGATATGTAGATAGATAGATATGTAGAGATAGATATGTAGAGATAGATATGCGTGAAATGGAAATCTTAAAAACCAAATTCAGCATTCCTGCACCGCCCTTGAAATAAAACTTCTTCCACGTCCTCCAGATTTACTTCGGCTAAGAAATAAGGATTTCATTTTGTAAAGCAATTTGCCAAGTAATTTATTATTTCCGAAATATTTTGCATAAAATTGAAACTATAAAACATTTGAAGTTGTATTTGCCATTTCTGTAAATTTGGATGCCATTATGAGCATATTGGAAAATCTCCCGGAAGAAAAATATGAAAATGCCAAGAAAGTCATAATTTGCTTCTCACAAAGTTGAATTTCAGAAAATACAGTTTTATATCAATTTTAAAAGCCCATTTTTTCTGTGTTATTCTTTATTTATTCACAGTTAGCTTCCTCGTGCACAAGGCTAGAATAATGCATCACCCAGTTTGGTATCAGTCTCACTCCAACGGCAAACTGTTGCTAATCGTCGCCCTACCTTCCTTTTTCTTCTTGTTTTCACGTTTAAAGGGCGGGAATATGTTGCACACACATGCACGTCAAATTAATTTTAAAAAAATAGAATATTCATTTTTTTAGTTTTGCTTTAAGCTTATTCTCGCTTTAGCTATAAAGAAAAATGATAAAAATATATGATATAAAATAATAACATAATAAAATAATAACATAATATAAAATAATTTAAAATAATATGATTATATGAAACTATATAAAATAATATAAAATTATATAAAGAAAAAATAAAAATTAGGTAAGCAAGGAAATAAGATAAATTAAGACAATAAAGTTTGTTTTTTTTCCAAATGTATTCCTCGAAGTAATCTATGCACAATATTTTTTCCTCTTTTCCCTTCGAGTAATGTGTACAAAGACTTTGCATTTGCCTTGTTCTGACAGCTTTATTTGCTTGCAAATACTTCAGAAAATGATATGACCTCCTGACTCCTAGAGTTTGCCATTTTTTAAATCATTTCACTCCAGGCAAAGCAATAAAGCCACTAAGACGCAAGGCGTTACTGAATAAAAGAAAACGCAAAACATTAAGATAACAATAAATGAACAAGAACTAAAACAGAAGATAACGATTAACATTATATTTTGGACGATCAAATTTGACTGGAAAGCAGAAGAGAATTCTACAAGCGAGAAGTGCGAGAGAATAAAATGCCAGTATAGAACTTGCGGTTGCATCTACATTTCAACTGTAAAATGGTATGGCTTTGTTGCCAGTCTAGTCAGTCAGTTAAGTGCCATATGTAATACATTCTTGGGGTATCATGTCTCTTTCGATTCATGACTGACTAACCAGAGGACTTTCCCGCAGTAGGTTACTTTTATCTGCCGTAGAATGGTTGTCCATCAAGGTTATAAGACCCTGTCTGTTCTACTATTCAACCCATAGCTGTGGGGAGAAGAGGATTCATTCCTTTTCCAAGTATATTTGCGCGTAAGCGCATATAAATGATTCGACTGGAATTCGAGCACGGCTCTTCGATTTCTCATTCCGATCTGATATTCATTACACCACGCGCACGTCGAAACTAGTCCAGGACGGATAACATTGCAGACTCTACGTTGGATGTTATTAAAAATCTCTAGATATATGACAGAAATCCTAGGCCAGATTTGAAAGCAATATTCTTGTTATATTCCGTGGTAAGGGAATAAATACTTAACACCAGGTGGATAATAGAAGAAAGGTTTATTGTACACAAGTACAATATGAAATACGGTACAGTTATACACACAGTCTAGTAGTGAGTGTCACTAATTGGAAGTCAGTCAGTAGTTCACTACCGACTGTTCGGTTGAACTCTCTTCCTACGGACGGGAGGAACCCGAAGGAGGTACGACGAAGGGCGGAGTCTCCTTCGGGGAGGTAAAACCGGCCCTGAACCCGTTTATACGGGTTCAATGGGCATATTTTTGGCCGAGCCCATGGGCTCGGAATGCCCACGTTAAAAAGGCCTTGTGCCACATGACACCCTTGTGGGGGGGGGCTGAATATCGTCACTATCGTCTCGCTCTCATTCTTCCTCGAGTCTCTTGTAGACGGTTGACTTTATAGGTACTTTCTACCTATAGTGTAATCATTCATGGGGGTTATTCCATTACATTAATTCTATACATGGTCGAATGTCCATTTCGACTTTAATCTTGAAATACAAGAATTTACTCCCTATTTCGGTTCGAAAATCCAACCATCTAAAGAATGCCGAAGCGTACAACGGCCGAAACGTCGTGAATAGGACAAGAGATGAGGACAACGGTCCAAATAATGTAAATAAGCCAAAGTAGATATTTAGCATCCTTCTACCATGTTTCTATCAGTGTCAATTTCTGTGCAAAACGTGGATCACAGAGCCTGGATATTTTTCTCACTTCTCATTGGATCTGTTAATATCAAAATCATGTTTTCGGCTACGGCCGTACAACGCTTACGCGTTATTCAAAACCATTTTTCCCCAAAAAATCAGAAATGCTTTCCGGGGCCGATCACGTGATTACGTTGATTTATAAATACCAAACACGAGTTCGTTCTTCCTCTCTTTTTGATTTCTCTCGCTTGCTAAAAATGTAGCTGTTTATGAATTCGCGTTCCTACCCCTTACAGGCGGACGCTATGAAAACATCGCACACATACACGTACGTACAGAAACTTAATTACAGACATTACAAGCATCAACGAATATTCCGGCTAGGTATATGACAGAAATCCCAGGCCAGATATGAAAGCAAAATTCTATACAGGGTCGAATGGTTATTTCGATTTGAAGCTTGAATAAACGATGTCCGTATCGTTGAATAGTTTAAATCATCAACTGATATCCTCTGATCTCTAATGAAACATCAGTTGATGATGACTGCTATTGAGAAGGTTAAAATCATTTGTGTCGGCTTGTGATAGATAATCTCTGTATTATATAAAGTGACAAGAGCTTGTCAGTAAGAGTAGTTCTGCATAACAGGCATCGCCTATCCAGTTATTTAATTAACACACTCACTATATACAAATATCAATAACAATTGTGCGAGAAAGAATATCAAGAAAGGCTTTTCAGGCGCCGATCACGTGATTACGTTGATTATAAATACCAGACACGAGTTCGTTCTTCCTCCCATGTTTTCTTCCTTTTTTTTTTGATTCTTCTCGGTTACTAAAATGTAGCTGTTTAAGAAATTGCGTTTCGACCCTTTACGGGAGGACGCTATGAAAATATCACACACGCACACATACACGTACGAATGAAAACTTAATTACAAATATAACGAATATTATAGAACATTACAAGCATCAATAGATTCTCAGCCTTACAGAATTCTTTCAACTCTCTCACATTTTGAGCGGCAAGTTCATTCAACTTTCTATGAGTTCAGATAAAAATATTTCCTTAGTAAATACTTTAAAAGGAAGTAACTTCTATTAATTTTGCTTGTATATCATTGACATACATAAATAGGAATATTGTTGTTATAAAACCGTTTCGTGTTCCTTACTGTTTCATATTTTCTGGTATTTTGCGTAAATATAAATTTGAGAGGTCACGCCAACGAACTGACCTCTACAGATATTTCTTCTTTGTAGATAGCAAGCCAAAGTAGCAGCCATTTTTTTCTTGGTTCATTTTCCTCATCTCTCGAGAAAAACATGAATCCAATTTTTCTTACCTGTCCAGCTATCAGCTAAATAAGGACGATTCCGATCTCAACACCGTTCCTACTCGAAGAGAAGGATGTCTGCATAATTATAGATGAGAGGAATGCTCCAGTAATATTGCCTACTATATGCGAGTGTCGGCTGAAAAGTTCATAGGTTGACCAAGATATAAATGTAAGTCGACTAAAACATGCATGTTGCATTCTGCTGCATTTGTCTTTTAATCTACCAACTGGTGAGTCAACTTATAAAGGGTGTTTCATTAAGACGGATCAAAGTCAATAGTAAATAAATCAGTGTTATTAGTAAAAATTTATTTATTTCTCTATTGGATCATTTTATTTAAGTAATAGCAATTAAATGTGAAAGATAATATCGCCCAATTGCCCGCCTAATCTAAAAGAAAAAAAGATGATTAAACGATTAAACTTAATCCACATTTAAAATCGGCCTAAGTTATTGGAACACCTTTTATTTTGGTCAGTCCCTGAACTTTTTAGCCGATCCTCGTATATCCGGTTGGTAGGAAAATGATGCCCGATTTTAGAATAAATCTTTTGGGTTCTAATCTATTATCACGACAGTTACACAAAAATATATTACTCATTCCTAATGATTCTTCTCGACAGTTCGATGCTGGTTACTGAAGTTGCTCAGTGGGGATACAAGTCTTGAAGTTTAAGGTGATAGAGGACGTCCATCTGCAAATAAGTCAACATCTGAAAAGACAAATCAAACAAAACCTACATCAAAGTTTTCAGAAGGTTTATGATAATGGGTGTCTACATTTCAACAATATCGTATTGGGCCTCAAACTCACACCCGACATCAAGTGGAATTCTTATATACGAGCCATCGCTAAAGATGCAAGTAAAATGATAGGCTCCCTGTACCGATGCAGTAAGAACCTGACTCCTCATTCTATCCTCTACCTTTATAAGAGGTGATTCAAAGGATATTCATAATAGGAATTGCTGGAACTAAAAAAAATTGTTTAAACACAGGTCCCTAAAATGGTCGATATCAACTCATAGTGGTTGATATGACTATCCAGAAGGTTTATAAATGCCTGGCAGGGGGGTCAATAAATGCCTAGAGGTGATAAAGTGGGTCGATAAATAATTACGATTAAAACACGCCAATTTCCAAACAAATATGAATGCCTTTGATACTATTTATCCTAAATCCTTAATCGATCCCTATTTACATTATTCGGACTATTGTCCTCATCTTTGTCGCCATGTTTATTACAACGTTTCAACCGTCGTACGCTCCGGCCTTCTTCAGGTGGTTGGAACGTCGAACTGAACCCTTTATTTCGCTCACTGGGGAAGACTGTTCTAGTTCCACGTGCCATGTTTAATGGATGTCAGTTAATAGTTATCTCCTGT